TTTTCTGGAGCAGTGGTGTTTTATTTTTACGGGATGGGGTTGCTAACCTCATGCCAAACCTTTCCTCTTTACCAGCATTATTTCTGGCTTAGCGAGGTAAAGGAGTGCGTCGGCCGGGAATTGAACCCCGGGCCATGTGCATGGTCGGCGAGCGTCCTAACCGCTAAGCCACCGACGCTGGGACCCTTCTCAATGAAATAAAGCATAATAATTGATAATGCCACACCTATTTAACATCAAAATTCCATAATAAATTCTGTTTTTCCCTGCAGATCTACTTATAATTATTTGAATTTTTCCCCAGTTTTAATTTGTGAAATTATTCTTCCCAAAACAAGCAAAACATTTATTTTTTACTGACCAACATTTTTATTCTATTTATATGGATTAGAAGCTACCCAAAGTTAAGACTGAGAGGTAAGCATTCTCAGTTTGAGACTATTCAGTAGAGTAGGGTTTGAACCCAGGTGCACCTGTAGATCATTCAGTTCCTGAGATTTGAGTAAATGGTCCTTGAATGCCAAATTTTGTGAATTCGTGATAAAAAGTTTGCAGTCGGCCTAGTATCTCAGTAGCTGAATGGCCGATGAGTTTGCCTTCTGATTGGAATTGTCCTGGGTTCAAACCCCAATGGATGCGTACTGCTGAAATGTCTCAAACTAGGATGAAACAGCTGTCCAGTACTGCCTGGTTTTCCAGTAATTCTTTAACTGATGTCCGTTCTCGACTAAACCTGTAATCAAACAAATGCTTGCAAATTAACACTTGAAAATAAATTGTAGTTTGCCAACATTATTTCCATGCACATGATCCGGGGTTCATTTTCCGGCTGACGCACTCCTTTACCTCACTAAGCCAGAAATAATGCTGGTAAAGAGGAAAGGTTGGGCATGAGGCTAGCAACACCATCCTGTACAATGAACACTGCTATAGAATCTTCAAGCCACTAGCTTGAGGCCCTATGTTCCACTGAGGAACGTGAAAGAAAAGCAACTGATGTCATAATCGGTGTTTGGAAGACAGTACTCAAATTTTACAGGTTATGCCAAAGTCACAGCTTTCTTGTCTTGTATGTTGAATGGTAAAATCGTTATGCAACTTATCTAGCAAACACGCTTAGAGGGATTTTGTTGATAACTATTGTTGGGATTTCTCAGAGCATTCAACTTCCTTATTTAACCTTAAATGTAATAAAAGTAGACATTTAAGAAAAAGACTGTAAATGGATAAGGTAATCAAATGGAATCCTTTTCCTCACTACTTGCTTTCCGAGTGAAGCATAAGGCTTCAAGCTTCGAAGTTTCAGTAGCAGTTTTGTTTATACTGGAGTGGTGTTGCCAGTCTCAAGCTTAATCTTTTTTCCTTTCAAGGCTTACTACTGGATAGTGTGCCTCCCCTTAGGAATCGAATCCTGACTTCCAGTGTGGCTGGCAAGCATTCTCCCATTAATCCACTGATTCATTTATGGTATGGTTATTTAAACATTCAAAGTAATGAGTCGTTCGAGATATCTGGATCGCTCACAAATGTCATTAAATCATGACAAGGACTGTTGATAGTATTTTTGTCATCGAATTTATGTGTATATATTATCAGCCGTGCCAACAGTCTTTTCTTAAAATTGTGTTTGTTTTACAAGTTTGAATCTCTCCCTCAACTGGTCACTTTTATTCAATCACTTGGCACTATTATCAGCCCCTGCAAAGTGAATAGTAATGTCTTCTTAAATGAATGTGAATGCATTTAGCATCTGAATAACATCGTAATCAAACCTGCAAGCAGTCAAATCCCTGCGAATCAACACTTCGAAATTAGTCTGATAATCAGTAGCGACTCACTGTATACAGTGAGTTGTCTGCAGTTCTGGTGAGAAGTCGTAACCAGCATGATCACCAGTCATATATTGCAGAAGTTGGAATTTGTGGACCGTTGGAATGAGACCAAGTGACTGAATGGTCTACGAACGTGCCTTCTAACAACCGGGAGATCCTAAGATCGAACCCCCTGGTAGGTGCGTACCACCGAAGAGTCCCAAACTAGGACGAAACAAATGTCCAGTGTTCCTTGGTTTTAACAGTAGTACTCAGACTGATATCAGCTCCTGGCGAAACCTGTAACCATCAATTAAGTCCCTGGAAATCAATACAATAATTTACTATGTGGGAAATATCGGGGTAAAATACCAAATATGAATGAAAGTAGACATTTCAATGAACTCACTGTCGTAGTGTCTACAACATTTTGATCATTGTAACAATTTGAGAATGATTGGCAATTATGTTAAAATCACAAAATATTGATTTTTACAGCATATCAGATTACAGAAAAGTGTGTTATACACACACATTTTGGTGTGCAGCATCGTCGTTTCAATGTATCAATTTCTATGTAGTTCTAATTTTCATTCAACTTATCTTCATATAAAGAAAGAGAGAAGTGTAACGTAGTAATTTCATATATATATTCATATGTATTCATCATCCTCTTACCAAATGAATGATTTTTTGTCGTTTTGATAAAGAATGTCTTCTCTCTTAACAACTTGCTGACCAAGTAGAGAAAAAAAAGTAGAATAAACGCGAATCGAAATATGCTTGGTTTAAGGTACTTGTTAATTTATATTTAACTAAAACGCATTGAAGTTAATTGTTGTCTCCATGATTTTTAGAGTTTTGTGTGCTAACAGTCTCAATCTGGGAGTACACAGGCTTTTTAAATGAAATCATAATGATAATCAATAAAGTTTTATCTTATTTGTATGTGCGTTTAATTATGAATCACAGATACTTGCTGATTTATACGAAGCATTCATGTTATTTATGTGTATATAAGGCACACAATAATTGGACTTTTATGAGAAAAAAAACCTGCATTAAAGATAAGAATGACCTGAAAAAAAACAGGTTACATTTTTGATCAATATTACTGCATTCTTTTTGATTGCACATTAGTCAGTAATTAGTGTAGTGTGCCTAGTCCCTTCATTGGTGCAGACTGAATTCTATCAGTCAAGTTTACAATGTGGCCTTCATGCCGCTAGATGACTGCTCTCTATCATGGTACGCCGTGACTTGTTGTTATTAGATTGCTGACTAATGTCCAATCAAAAATAGCCAGTATAGTCTCCTACAGGAGATTAATCACACTCCCTAATAGCTCAGTGGTAACATCTTTGACTTGAGCACTCACTGGATGACGCGGGTTCAAATCTCAGAAGGAACATAAGTCTTTTCAGATCTGTACATACGCCGCCTTGCTTTCTTGTGAATGCCAACTACTAAGCACGAAACCTAGATCCAAAGCTTCCTGCCGATTGCCTCAAACCATCTAATGCCAACAATTAACACGTATACGATTCACATCTTCGGCTTACTTCATCAAAAACTCAAGTGTAAACGCCACCAGATTATGAATTATTTTTTATTCAATATTGAATCGTGTTAAGCATCACCCTCATCGTCATTCTTATTTGAATGAAAATTATTCGAATCGGTCTTATTTTACTAGTGTATAGACGATTGATAATTTTAGTAAAACACATCAAGACACATCAAATATTGTGTGTATAGACAGATAATTGCGGAATGTATATTCACCACCTGACTGTTTATTCATATGTTCAATTTTCAAGTGATTTTAGAAATTTAAACAAAGTGGTATTTTTATGAGATGATGATAGATGTATATATGAAGAGTCAATAACTATTAAATTTTGTCTTATTTTTTGATGGTTTATCTATATATCAAAAAATTAATAAATGAAAATAAGTATTTCTCAATAGATGACAATGACAATTAACTAACCGAAATTTAAACATCATTTTGATCATTTATAATCTATTGAACACTTATGATACATTTAATGTCCGACCTGATACAGATTAAGTCTACTTTTCGCGGGATGTTTATTATAATAGATTGATATAATCTGAAACATTTTTGAAACTGATTTTTATATTCGAAGTTAACTGGTGAATGGTGACTAGCAGTGGAATCCAGGATGCTGCATTTCGTCCTATTTGGGGCTCGTCATCTGGATGTATCTGCATTTCGCAGTAAGTGATGATGTTCCCACCGGGGCACGAACCCAGTGCCCATTAACTTCTAACTGATGCCTAGACATCGTTGAAGCATCTGCACTAGAAGCTGACATGTCAACCTGAGAACACGCACTTCAGTCTAATCAATCGATGGAAAAATCTAAAATTAAATTAAATTAATTTTATATTCGTTAAATGATTAGTTTTATGCTAGGAGATCTCATCAATATTCCTACATAGATGTTGTGATTATATTGAATAAAGTAGTAGTTCAGTATGACGGTGTCAAAGAAAATAGGGAATTTTCAAGAGCCAGTTTGTCGAGATTCGATTTGTTTCAAACTCAATCACGGATTGGTATCACTTAGAGAACCATTGAAAGTCGGGAAGTACTGGGCTGTTGCTTCGTCTTAGTCTGGGAATGTTCAGCTACACTCACACATAACTCCTCCGAAGAGAAAACCTATAAAATGACTCTTGAAAATTAATTGGATACACAGTAGTGACTGACCACTGAATGAAGTTGCCCGAGGTTCTAGTCGGGTTCGAAGACAAATACTCACTGATAAATTTGTCTGGTGGTCGCGATGTAATCGCGAATCGACAAAAGTTAAAATTCATGGGCTATTGGATCCCGTCTGAGAATAGTCACCAGTCTCATTTCGTAACATGGAGGGGCTAGGTCTGATCCGCGGGGGGACTATGGATACATACTGCTGAGAAGTTGTAAACTAGGACGAACTGGGATAAAACTTGAAATAGAATATTATGATGACTAGACCTGACTTTATTATCTAGATGAGGATATACTCACCGAAATGTCTACATTTCTTGTGATCCCAAATAAAGACATAATTTTATACTGCTAAAAATACTCAAGTTAACGTGAAGTAGATTTCTATTGCTTTGTGGGTTATAAATAAAGTGAATTATTTGTATGTTTATCTAAAATAAATATAGGTGATCTGTGCAAGGGATATGCAAAGTCCAAGACCATTGGAGGGATTTGGTTTCTCACTTGGATTGAATGGTGCTGATCTAGATGATAATGGTTATCCAGACATGGCCATTGGAGCAACTTTATCTAGTTCTGTAGCTGTTCTACGAACACGACCCGTTGTCAGGTAACTTTGAATACATTATATGAATGTCGTTATATTCATTAACTAATTAACTGATATTTCTCTGTTCTCATAGTGTAAATAATATCTGAATGGCTAAAAATATATTCCGTGCTGTTATTTCGTCGTGTTGGCTTTTAGACACGAATAGCTATTACCTGACAAACTATTTCGGTTGAGCTGAATCATCCTGAGATTCCTACCATACACATTGACAACACTAAAAACACCTACGCCACTTTCTGTTTTTCGGGCGGAGTCTACAGAAAAGACTGTTCATATAAATTGTATCGCTACAGTTTTCATACAATGGCTCGCAGTTAATCGTAAGAAATTCAATAAGGATTAACTATATAGATTTCATCGTCTTCAAACAAACCGTCAGTGATTGGTCTCAAGCAGTTGTCCTCTAAGATTTGTGATCATAAAAAACTGACCCTTTTTTCCCCTACCAAGTACTTCACAATGAAGTCAGCTTCCACAGGATGATCCGCTTGAAATTAATGATCGCCCACACTTTCCCACCAACATATAAATTTCATGTGCTTTGTCACCTACTTTTTCGATCTTTCCTTCAAACCCCAAATTTATTCAGTTCTCTGTTTGGTGATACCATTATTCATCTTCTGTTGGCGCTTCATGCTAGAAGCTTGAAATTTCTGTAGCAGTGTTTATTTTTACAGGATGGGGTTGCTAGCCTCTTGCCCCAACCTTTCCTCTTTATCAGCTTTATTACTGGTTAGCGATGTTAACGAGTGTGTCCACCGGGAATCTAACCCCGGACCATGTGCTTGATCAACGAGCGTCCTGACCGCTGTGCCACCGGCGCACCATCTTCTGTTAAATCAACGGCAATGGCTTGTTACTTTTTTTACTACTTTTAATGTCTTAAAACCACATTAATCATTTCACACTGGAGCTAACAACGTCCGGACACTGGACTGAATCGAACAACTGTCTTTTCTTGCCGAAATGTTGACAACTTGAGTTTGCAGTTTATCTTAAATTTTTGAGATATGTGTATAATCAGACTAAGTCCAACTTGGCTCAAATGGCGGATCTGTGAAATCCACTTATGATGGAAGTCATGAGATTTTGTAACTATTTCTCATGGATCGAATGACTTGGAAATGACATAAAGCTTTGGAGATTAACTCATTGTCTGGCAGGATTCAATCAGTGAGTTGTCCGTGTGAAAATTCAGCATAGTCCAGTAAAACAATTAGAGAATATAATACCTGTTTGTGCCTAAGTAGTTTCTTCTTCTCCAGCTCCCACTGACGCATTAAATGATTTCTTTTCTGAACGTTTTATTCCTATGTTCATATCTGGATGGGTATTTTCTGTGAATTAAAAAGTAAGCAAGGACCTTTTCATAGTGAAGGAACGTAATGGGTTTCTACGCTATTCTGTCAAGCTTGCTGAAGTCAATACAAAGACCGGTTTTCTCAGAGATTGTATAAATACCCACAAATATCCGAGGTGGTTATTGGAAAGCGCTTCGTCGCAATCGTGTTTATCTTAACTTCAAACCTCTTAAACATCACACTTCAAACCACATCGACTACATTCTTTCACGTGTTCCAGAACTGCAGCGAAACATAACATAACGATCCTCTGCGTAATGTGAGTTGTTTAGCGATAAACGCCAAGCTTTCAATGAGTATATGAGTATGGTCACGGAGAAGCGCACAAAAGCTGTCCTTTCAAACCTATTAAGTAGCCTAAAAGCCACTAAAAGACTATGCAAATCTCCGGAAGATCCAGCTAAATTTTGTGATCAACCATTCTTCAGTAACTTTATCTCCTATGCAAATGGTGGCCTTGTCGGTCGGACCAAAATTCTGCGAAGTGAACCAAAACATTACTGAGTTTTTTTCCATGAAGAAATGTCGAATTACACTCGCATGAGGCATAATCCTGAAACTTAGTCATATTGGTATATGATTTTAGTAATGTGATTGATGGGATTGGGCAGAATTCTACTAAAAATGAAAGAAAGTCAAGTTAAGGTCAGTTCCATAAGGAGTAGAAATATAATAGTGGGTGGAGAACGGAGCAGAAAAATAATATAATTAAAAAGTAAACAAAATTAAGATTAACAAAAATTATGTCTCTAGTATGAAGACAAATTAGATCCATTGCAGGTCCATTGACTGAGAAAACTTCTTCTGTAGGCATAGTTCAAGATTCAACGTGTAGATTGCCATCACTTTTACAGTATGAAGAAATTTGATTAATACTTCTTAGACAAGGTTTCCGTATACTCTGTTGGTGATTCTGAAGTTGGTTTGCAGCTTAGCTTGTGTCCAGAGTCGATCAAGTGTTCTAGAATCGATCTGCGAGGAATCTTCTGTCTCCTTTTAAACTATGATTCTGATCTTTATTTGACTGTTTTTTTTCATTTTTACTAGAGTTCTCCTCAATCGTGTCGATTATATTGCATCATACAATTCACTTATTTAACGTCATTGAAGTTTTTATCCAGTTGATGCCTTCTCCATCACGTAATTATTATCTACAACCCACGATTTTAGTAAAATATCTTTAGAAGTAACGCTTTTGTTGCTATGATAATTTACTACCTATATGCGATTTATAAAGACTGAAAATGATATCTCCGAAAAGAGTAACTTCTAATATTGTCGATATATGATATGACTCTAATATTTCCTTTCCATTACGCAATAGACTGAGGAGGTCTATATACATCCAAGCGTCGGTGATACAGCGGCTAGGATTCTCACCGACCATGGTCCAAGGTTCAAATTCCTGCCGACGCACACCTAATATCTATGGTCGGCCTACAAAATTTGGGCCACCGATATCACATGCTGAAAATTCCATACTTGTACCAAAAACACTGTGTGTTTTTAAGCTTGGATTCCGAATGGAACATTCGGTTTCAACAATACATCTCCTTGTTTGTTCTATTTTCTGCTGTCCTTTTCACATGGGTCCACGATTCCCCATAATCTCTCATCTCCTCCACGCACGGTCTCCACCATGTCACCCTCGCAGCGATGACCCATTCAATGTCCTGACGCACGATTTCATTCAACGGCCTCCTCAGAGTATGCCCAATCCACCTGCATTCCCTCCTACATATTTGTTGGGCAATCGGCTCTTGGTTGGTTTGTTCCCAGCCAGAGGTTCTTGTTACTAATTCTTTCTGGTCGGCCATTCCATCTTCAATAATGAACCAGTGAAAGAAGCAGCTGTTGACAAAATTCTGTAACTTGGAAATCCTTTTTGTGATACTCAGTATAAGTTTCTGTCCCATACAGAAGAGCTGACCGACTTGACATTGGTGTTGAAAATCCGATTCTTGTTGTTTATCCTGAGGTGGAGTGCAGATTTCCAAACTGGTTTCAGGTATCTTGCCTTCCCAATTACAATTAGGTTATTCGTTTCCAAAATCATGAACCTTATTTTCAGAACTTCTCAATTTAAGTTATGCATATAATCGTCAGTTATACTTATGAATGAAATCAGTTCAAGAACTGAATGAGCATCTAACTCGTCGACTCGACGCTAGACAGTAATAATTTCATTCGTCTAATCCTTCGTTTTATGCAGAATCTCAGAAGGAATATGAGTCCTTTAAAGATTGCACATACGTCATGCTGACCGGTAAGAGTGCCAACAAGCATAGGACATAGGTGTCCCAGGGCTTCCATCTGATCGCCTCCTACCTACTAACAACGACTCTATATCTTTCGACTGTAGAGTGAGAAAGCTAGAACGACTAAAAGAACTCTTTTTTATCGTTCACTTTGTCAATGCTGTAGTGACAAAGAATAACATCTCAACTTATAAATTTTATTATCTTTTTGTTTAAAATGACAGGCATTTTAGAGAGCAAATGAAATGAAAGAATGTCAGACCTGAGATTTGTTTTACTTCACTAAACCATTAAGCTTTGTTTCTTTGTATCGCTTTAGAAAAAAAGGATATATTTGTATCATTTTTTTTCTTTAAGGTCACTATTATATGTGATTTATTACACAAAACACTTTAAGTCAAATAAAAAGTTTTAACAGCAATCAAAGCTTTACAGATAAATGATGGTAATGCTGGCGATGACCAGCGTATCTCTGAGATATCCACTACTACTAATACCACTATTGTAACAGCAGAACACGATGGTATTTGGTTGCGGAATTGTTTATTTCATGCAAGAATGCCCTTTTTGTAGAGAAAGAACAAACATTGGTGCAGAATAACATGGATTCATTTTATTCCTTCGGTTCTCATCAACCACATACAACCTATACTCCTTAATAAATAAAAGTCAGCGTAAAACTTAATATACTTTTTGATTGGACATTAGTACCTAGTGTGATGTTTCTAGTCCTTTTATAGTGTGCAAGGGTTAGATGAAAAGATGATGATGTAATACGATGAGTAGAACTCATAAGGTCAAGAAAAATTATCTCTTATCGAAGTCAAACTGAAGAGAGGCATTGCGGAGATAAGTTAATGCAATTAGAAGAATAATAGTTATTAAGGGATGAGTCATCAGGGTAATTGGGGTTTAATGACAGATTCTTTCTGCACCCAAGGTCAGGTTTCAGTCGTTTTATTAAGATAGCCTCAGCAAACCGTAGGAGATTTGAGCTATTTTTTCTGTTAGTTATTCTGAATGATGTCATCGTGTCTACTCGGTGTTCAGTGTCTGTTAGGAGTTTGATAGTTGGAGAGCTAGAACTACTTGACCGCCTTAAATGGAAGACCCTTGGCACATGTTCGAAGAATGTAACGTAGGCCCTTCTTTCTGTTCTTCCGGTTTAACTGCTCCCGCAGATACGTGTGAATTAGTAGACACATTTGGAGGTAACGTATTAGGGGTACTTTAATGGCACCAGCGAAGAAGATGTTCTGATTAGATAGATTAGTTTTGCTGCAGGATACGTCCTGGACAGGATCGCACTTTCAGTATCATCGCCTTTGAAGTCTAGTTTGATGAAAACTGGCTGCTTGCTGACCTTAGGTTCATCACTAAAGATTATAGGTTGTATGCAGCTGATGAGAACCAACGAAATTAAAAAGGATCCATGTTATTCTGCAGCAAGGTTTGTTCTTTGTATGCTAGAATTGTTATTGGTTGATTGACGCATATGTATGACGAAATACGTTTATTATATATATATATATAATTTCATAACGGGTGGGGAAAAATAATACAATTAAAAACAAAAATTACGTACCCAGTGTAAAGACAGATCAGGTTCAGTTTAGATTTAATCGCTAAACAAAATTCTTTTGTATGCAGAGTTCAGGATTTAACATGTGAATTTCATTGCTTTTTGCAGTTTGAAGAAGTTTGATTCCGTACTCCCTTAGCAAGATTCTCACGTGTTCTGTAGATGATAACTTTGTGGGTCAACTTTGCGTCCAGATTCGCTTAGGTGTTCCAGGATAGACATATGTGGTGATATCTTTTCTCCCTCATAAAACCATCGGGGTAAGTGATCAGTTCAGATAGCGAATGCTGAGCTCGCTCGATAAACCTGGCTCCATACGAGTAGGTGAGTTGGTAGATACACATTGATGAGTAAGGCCAGCAGTGATGGCTTATCCTTCACGTTCATGCTAATCATTGGTTTTGTGAAGTAAGTTAACCGAAGTTCACTCGCAAAGAAGGTTTTCTTCAATGAAAGAGATAGGCGATTTTATCAGTATTTCTGCCAATGAGTCTCAATTGGATTGTAGATTCAGAAAGAGAAGTTTTTGGGAGCAGAAAGCGTGGGCAATTTTATTGGTCAGGTAACGTTTTTGAGTTTTCAGCTCGTCTGTCATAGTGTGTTGGCTGCAAATTCCGCAGATTCCGTAGCGTAGTGAACGAATCATTTTTTGTTTTGTATTTGGAGGCACCAAAAAATGAAAGTTACTGAGTTATCCTTTTCATGTAAGCTCTCTATAAATGGATCTGTTTTTGGTGTTCCATCTTGTTCACATCTTGTTAATTGAATGTCAAGAAAAGATATTTTTGTTTCTGATTCCTTCTCTAATATGAACTGGGTTGCAGTGTGGCTGCTGTCGAAAAACTACTTGATATTTTCCGAATTCTTCTCATTATTGCAGATAATCAAAAGTGTCCTTCATGTACCTCCTGTAAAACCCAAAGGTGTCAGAAAAGCAACTGGCCCATTGGTGAGCTAATCATCCACCTAGCAAAGTGTGTTTTATTAAGCTGTCTTTCGAGTAATGACTAAGATCTTTCACATTCTCTCGCTTCTTTTATTTTATAGATTCAATGCATATTTAACAATGATGGATGGTAGTACTATTCTTCCAACTTCATTTAACTCTTTAACTGATTGTTCAAATGAAGCTCAACTGATACTGGTTATAAAACAACATCTGCTAAGTGTATGGATGTGAAATTGATCATAACCTACACTAGTGTTGATAAGTAAGCAAGTTATATTTATGATTTATTATATGATATTACGCAATTTTCCACTTTTATTATTATTATTATTACAAAATCGAGGTCGTTTATATCAACTTCAGTTGTGTCTACTCGTCCAACTTGCTTCTAACACACAAAACTAGATAAATTCTTTTCTGATGCGTCTATAGATGTGGGCTGCTGCTGAATGCGAAACTAGGATCAAAGGTCAATATGGTAGAGGCTGGAAATTTCGAACCTTTGCGATAAATATGTAATCTGGTTATTCAAAAGTAAGTATGCTAGTAACATCCAAGTTAAACTTTAAACACCACTAAGAACCAATCAACGAATGACCTTGAATAGTCGAATGAGTTTCATCCACGCGAGTTGAAGGTTGTATTCCGCTTGATTCGAGTCAAATGACTGCTCTAACACAGTTATGCTTGCAATTTGGTGAGGATGAGGGTTTTCGAGTATTGCTTTGGATATGGGTTGCTTAGGAAGAAGAGGATTTGTTCATGTGAAAGTGTCATAAATATAAAAAGTTTCAGCAGGTCGATTGATGAATGTGTTCATCGCTGTGCAATTTGTTTTAGACAAGTGAGTGTCAGAGAAGGTTAGCTAATGATTTTTAATATTTCGTTGGGAACTTTTTTTGCTAGGTCCTATTTCTCCCTAACCCAAATTTTGTATATTTGTAACTACTGGGTTTTAAAACAGCCTGTGAGAGGCGCAGCTGCTGATTTTTAAAATAGCCTTGTATCAACAGTTCAGTATTACCAGCACTGTAGAGATATTGCTTCATGAAAAATGAAGAGAATTACTTCATTATAAGTGTGTTGAGAGCTGTCTGCAAGCCAAAATTGTAGCCAACAATTTACATCCCAAATCGGGTCATTAGAAAAAATAATCTTTATCTTGAGGGACTCAGCAAAAAATTACAGCATACTTAACGTGTGCAAATGCAATTCGCAGATATATGGTTTAACTTTCTAAGAAATGGTCACAAGCAGTGTAGAATAACCTTCAGGAAGAAAGCCAATCAGAAGAGGTTACTTCCGCGCTGACAATAACGCTAATAATAATGTACATAAAAATCTATAAGTATCTCTTGATTTTCTCAATAAAGGATCTGTTGCCTTGCCCTTGTCTTCTGTCGTTACATTAGGAGAAGGTGTCGTCGTACACGTGGATGAAATTGTCATATTGAAGAAAATGCATAACTGTGGTTGTGAGCGTGCAAACAATGTTTGATTGGTCGACTTATATGACACCTCCAATCAGAAAGGAGTCGTTGAGAGAATAGCAAACAGAAAGTCAGCTACCTTAGTACCTATTATCACTCGGCTGGTGAAACAGGGACCTATAGTACACACAGATGAGTGGAAGGGCTATAACTCCCTGTCTTCATTTAGATATATTCATCACAGATTTAACCATTCCAGTGATTTTGTGTATCCCTTTACAAGGACACGAATGAATTCTATGGAAGCATTATGGGGAAGATTAAAAAACAGGATTAAGGATGTAAATTGATCTCAGAAGGGTGTTATTTATGGCCATCCGGAAGAATATATGTACAGATTGCGGTGTAACTTTTCTAGTGATACTCATATGCTAAACTGGAAGATGTTTCTGTAGCATGTCAGGGAAAGATAACTTATGGGACAGTTTTACGTACCTTTTTCATAAGTATACGTTTTTTATAACCAAAAATTCCTCTTCCATGTGATTGCTTCGTAAAAATTCAGGCAACTTATTGTGTCTATTTTAAACGCTTTAAATTTAGTGGATTTTTCAAGGTATTGCTCTAACCATTTAAAATGGAATCAGCAGCTAAGTCGGAAATTACGTGAAGATAAACAGTTACTTTCTTCTTTGACGGAAGATTAGTTACCATGATTAAATGATAGGCCCAATTTTAATCAATATAGCCAACCAGCTAGACACCACCTACATTATGTTAACAAATCTAAAAATTAGTCTGTCATGTAACTTGCCCAGTAGTCTTGTTCAAGTTCCCACAACGTAGATTGACCATGTGCTTTTTTATTCCGTTTCTCTATGTGTGGGTAAACATGACTCAGACCAGCCGCCTATACTGTTCTTTATGTTCTTGTCCTTCTTTGAATGACAGTTGTTTTGTCTATATGCAATATTTCTGTACCCTCAGTACAGATGAAGTTCTAAGACAAACTGGTTGTATTTTGTCCACATCACTAACTGTGAGGATTAAGAAATCCGTAGGTGAATTAATTCTCACCAACATTACTGTAGAGGCATTTGCATAACAGCTGTCTTCCTCTCTGTATACATCACCCATTCACAGAGTGATGCAATTTTAGGGTGGTGATTGTTTTAAAATAAACATGGACCAATATTCCGATTAATTTAAGCACATATAGCACAATATGTATAGTGCGCTGTTTATATTGACAACGAAACATGTAAATAAACGGTGCAACTTGCCAAACGAAGAATAAGAAGGATAATACAGTATGAACAATAAGCTCTTTTAACGCTTTCTAGTGACTGGCTACAAGACGAAGTTATCTGGGGTTCTAGTCAGAAGTTGTGACCATTAGGGTGTTCCCCAGGTCAGATGTAAGGTCAAAATTTTCAGCGACGCCACTGTTTGGTCGTTGCGCTAGAATTGACAGAAGTAAGAGTTCATGGGTCATTGGGTTCTGATTCAAATGGTTGAAAAGTCAACGAGCTTCGCCTTGTAACTTGAAGGTCCTGAGTTCGTGAGTGTGTACTTCTTAAAAGTCCCAAACTACAAGGAAACAGCTGTCCAGTACTCCCTGGTTCCCAGTGGTCCCTCTAACTGACACCATCCGTGATCAGACTTGTAATCGGCTCTCTGTTATATATTGAACAAGAGGAAGAAGAAGGAACTAGTGGTCACTGTTTCTTTCTACAAAAAATTTCTAGTGAAGAGAAAAATTAGCTGTTAAAGCATTCTAAACCGACTGATCTTCCAGATGTTCTCTTCAAAACTGAATCTACCTACACAGGAAATACAAAAGCTCACATGATTGGAGAAAAAGATAGATATGAGACTAATGTAATAGCAAAATCTCCCTACTCATTTTCCCAACTGAAATTGGTTTTACTACTATTGCATTAGGTTCTGAATGGAACTCAAGGCTTCAATAGCATATTCCCCATCAATCCTCTTCTCTCCAATTATCTTAATTTGGCTCTATGTTTTTCCATAAGCTCTAATCTCTTCCATGTCACCCTCGGACTAACGATCAACTCGTCTTTTTCCATCCTGACTCTACTCGAGATGCTGACACCCGATGTCATTCAACGATTTTTCAGAGTGTTTCCAGTTGATCCATCCCCAATTTCTTTGGAATATTTCTCGGACCATGGATTATTGGTTGGTTCGTTGCACTGCCAGACTTCATTGTTACTAATCCTTTCTGGTCGGTTTCCTAATCTTCATTATGGAGCCAGCGAAGTATGAAAACTGATGGAAATGCTTTTGATGAACCATATAGGAAAAACTGACTGATTCGACATTAGTATTGAAGATCTGAAAATTGTTCTTTATGCTTAATGCAGTAAATTTTCACACTGCTTTCATACTAACAAATGTCCATCTGGACTTTTGATATTGGCTTCGATACTGTCATGTGTTCCGCCTGTAGTTGAAATTATGCTGTCCAAATAAGTGGAAGAAGTGACGTTCTTCAAGTTGCCCCCGTTGATAGTGGTTGGTTCTTGTTGTTGCTGTTGGTCAAGTATTTTCTTTGCGCCTGGCATCGCTATGTTTACTTGATTTTCTGTATTTTTGATTCTTCTGCGAACTTTTTGGTTTTTACCTGTAGATCTTTGAGTTTATGTGACATTGAACATAGGTCGTCTACAAAGTTCAAATTTTCTAAAGTCTTTGTGTCTTCTCGTTTCCACAGCCTGCCTCATGGTTCAGTGATACCTAACTGAAATACTACTTATTAAGCAAGAATTAATTAGTCATTTTATTATTAAAACAAAGTGATATTAACTAGATATTTATAAAGTAAGTTATGAAATTGTTAGTGATAAAACAAAACAGCTACACTTGTTGAATTATCACCTCATAGCCCTCTCTTATTACGTCAGTGCATGCGATGTGTTTGACATCAGCTGTAGAAGTAGGGAACTTTTGAAGCAACTAGCATCTGTTCTAAAACACATTATTTCATTGTCAAAATTATAATGCTGAATTGTCAATAATTTTCAACATGTTGAATAAAATTCCCTTATGAGGTATGTGTGAAATCTCCCATTGACAAATCAGTCCACAGTTGTACAAGGTGTCAATTGACCGGCTAATACAAAGTGTGATCTATTAAAGGGGAGATAGTAAAACTTCAGTGAATAGGTTACAGGATTTCATCATGAGCTGACGTTGGTTAGAGAACCATTGGAAAACCTGGGAGTACTGGAGCTGTCCAGCTCATGATGAAATCCTGTAACCAATCAACCAAATCCCTACAAACCAATACTTGAACTTCAGTGAATAGTTTGTCTCGAAATAACCAATATGTGAAATAAAACAGATGAAAGCATATATGAAGAAAAGAGATTTTGTTTATTTTTTAATTGTATTCCCTTACTTTCCGAGTGGAAAATAGGACTTCAAGCTAGAGCTTTGAAATTTCGGTAGCAGCGGCTTCTCTTTTACGGGACGGAGTTCCTAGCCTCACGCTCAACCTTCCTAATATACTGGCCTAACTGCTGGCTGAGTGAGGTTTAGGAGTGAGATAATATCGCTAATAAGAGATTAAAATAGTATAGATGAAAAATTAGGGTGAAAAAGAAGAATTTCTACTCTGAACATCTATTTGTATCCTTCAGTAGCTATCCAATATTCCCCCGACACTGAAAGGCATCTTACGTCCCTGTGGTTCAAGTTATATAGAGTGTACGATTAAACAGATTCGTCTACGGATTCGAGAACATTTACTAGGTTTTTTTAGTTAAGAATCAAATCAAATGCATTAAGAGCTTAATTCTCTGACACTTGGTGGAGACAGAACATCTCATTGACACCAAAATAGTCTTCAGGGTTATATACCACATTCCGATATCATTATCACGCACAGTTTGCTTACGTCTTCCACTGTGGTTAAAGTTGGAGTAAAATTTCTTGCCCCCTCAAAGAGCGTCTTTTCCTCTTATCACTTTTGCTTTTGCTTCGCTTGTCTTCTTTTTGTTACCTTTTTTATCTTCGTCGCAACACTTCTAGCCACAATGTTTTACAATTTATACCCTTTTATTCTTTCAATACTGTTGAAATCCCTAACTATCGAAATCTAACTTACTTACCTCAAAGGTATTTATTTTATTTACCCTAATATATCTGTTTGCACGCCAAAATTATTGTAACATTATTAGTAGCATAATGTTTGTTCGCCCTTATTAATACATAATCGATTTTACTTGACCTTATTGCATTCTTGTGCATAATGAAACCCTCCCCACTCATTTTACTGAATCGTTGTGTACATAAGTTGTCTGTAAAATGTGCTTCATTGTACTACATTACACAAATTTCAAGCAATACTCTGAAGAAGACGAAGAAGAAAAATGTTTTCGAAATGAGATAAAATAACTAGAACAGAAAATCTGAAAAAACTGTAAATAATAATAGGGGCAAAAAATGCAATAGATAGGTAGAAAGGGGTTAACAGAAAAAGCTGTTTCTTACCCAATATTTTTAGGCCTAAAGTTGTCTGGATTCTTTGTTCAAAATATTGTTTAGAAACTATTAAAAAATCAAGTGGAAATCCTCTTTCATTCGACTGTGTACGGCCAGAATTTCTTACAACAGATTTAGAAGTCTTTCATACAGATAGATATGTATATATGTGGTGAGAGCAGCCTGCTAGCCAATTGGTTGACATTAATCTACGTCAATGTCTAGGTCACTAATATGGGCCGTGAGAAAATATGAACAAGGCTGTTTTAACAACCAATCACAGCAAACTTAAACGTGGGCAAATATGATTCGCAGATAGATGGCTCCACTTTCCGAGGAACTCGAAAACAACCAATCAAAAGACTGCGTTTGTCTACTTGACTAGGCTATAATAATGTATGTGAAATTTACATAAATACGTGTTGATTTCCTTAATAAAACGATCTGTTGCCTAACCCTTGTCTTCTGTTGTTACATATACAGTTGTTATGTTTGGGAGATTTGTTAACGATTTAAGAATCACTGAAGAAAAAAGGAGAACTGACTAGTGGATTTCATAAGGTTAATTGTTAAGGTAGATATTTATCGTTGATATTCAAATAATGATTCTCAGAACTTGAAGGTAATGGGTGATCGAATTTCAACCCACTCTTTGATTATTCAGATGCTTTCTCTGTGAAATGAAAATAATGAGTGTAATTCGTTGCGGAGAGGGATAAATATCAACCGTCGAAGAGTCGCGATTTGGAGTGAAACAGCTGTTTAGTGATCCTCGGAAGGAAGTTTGCTTTCCATGTCAGTTGAATATCTACTAATCAAACAAATGAGAAACGATTAAATATTATATCAAAATAAAATGAAAGGAATAACAAAGCAGTATGTCAGATGGTTGGAAGCATTGGGACTACTTGGCACTCAACATTTATTAAGGCTTATCTTCGACCTTGCTGAGAGAACGATGGAAGTTGATTGGTGGTAATACCTCAGTCTCTACGCCATGAGATGACACAAAAATATCACCAGCTAGCACATACAAGAGTAGTCAGGACAACCCACCTCTTGAGACAAAGCATTAACTGGCCACGTATGATAGAAGGTGTAGCAAAATATTTACTTGCATGTCCGCAATGCCAATTGATGAAAGGAGATCAGTGTATACGATTACCTCTATACTTGGTTTCAGTTAAGGCAGTAGGTGAATTGTGGTCCACAGATGTGATTAATCTGTTTCCGCAGACATCCGTGCAATCACTACCTCCCAGTGATAACGGAAACGCCCTACACGATGGGAAGATGCAGTCGTGACCTCGGATAAATGCACAAAAACTGTGACTGACGTAGTGGTTCGACACATCGTTGCAAACTACGGTGTACGAAAGACGATACTAGCAGACTAGGGCCCTTATTTTGAAAGCAAAGAATTCAATTCCCGTTTGCAACAGCTGTGATTAAGAAGGTCCAGACAACACTATATCATCTGCAAATAATTGATCTGACAGAGAGAAATAACCGTACACTAAAGGAGTGGCTGGCTTCAATTGAAAGTAACTGGGCGACAGATCATCCATCGATTCCACTAGCACATCGTGGATCCACCCAGAAAAAAACAAAGAAGTCATCATTTCAGTTGATGTGTGAAAAGAAACCACGACTACCAATACACAGCACGAATTGGCCCCTTCATCAAGAGTGAAATATAAGAGGCTGAGAACGGAATGGAAAGAAGCCATCAGCAATGAAAAGAAGAAAGACACCGCAAAATGTGCACAGAGAGAAAAGATAGAATGCACAACCTTAGAGGTCAGTAATCAAGTAAAGTGTAGACAGAGAAGGTGGACCGGGTTCACGGAAACTCCTTCCAAAGTAGGAAGAGTCATACGTGGTCCCGTTTATACCATTAAAAGAGGAAATAAACAAAAAAGGGGTTAACGTCAGACAACTGCGGAAATGGATTCAGTGGGATAAGGCGGCACAAAACTAGGTACAACAGGAAGAGGAGAATCAATAAGTTCGGAGCGGTTTCGTTCGAAACTGTTTGATAAGGGGACGATTGTGGCGTATGCTACTGACAAGTATATCAGTAGTGTACCAAACGATATTCATCGGCATAAAAATATCAAACTATGAAGAAATAGATTTGACGTCAAAGAGAGCAAATGAACCAGTGTCGTGGCAAAACACGGGAGACACGAAATGAAGACAAAGAAAGACAATACGAAGGAAGGGTAAAGTAGCACAACACCGAAGATCTGTGCAAATGACCATTTACAAATAATTTCGTTATATGAAGATACTGAATTTCAAACAGACATTCCGTTACCAAGTCTTTGTGTTTTACTGTTACACTCTCAGTTCTTATCGGTCACTGATTGTTATCACGAGGAAATTAAATTTTTAAATCTTTGTTGTAATTAGTATTTTGTATTGTTCAGGTTGTAGCTAGTTGACAAGATACCTCGGAAATGGAAGAAACATTCATCTTTTTTAGTGATTTTCAACCTACTTTTCTTTATATTACCATCCTCTTTTACTATTCTTAAATAGAAACATGATCACCATTCCACAATTAGCCTACATATATAATCATTGTATTTAAACAAATTCTCCATCCTTTTGATTTCCTTTATCATTAGTAAACCGTGTAATCAACGCCGAAATTATCCAGTATCAGTTCTATTAAAATATAATCCTACCAGTGAATGGCTTTCAGAAGGTTGGGAAGTATTTGATAAACAAATTCCTTCAGAATCAACTGATGCTACAGATCAATGTATTGGTGATGATCAACAGTCAAATATTGTTACACGAAATATTATGAAAGAACTCTATCAAAATTATTCTCTATCACCAATTGTATTTATACGAGAAAAGAGTATAAATGATATTGAAACGCATAGAATTAAAGAATACTTTAAACGTAATGAATCTGCTTATCTCTCAGGATTTGATAGCCCTGGGGGATATTTAGAAGTAGAAGGCAGTGCATTTTGTCGTGATCCTATAAAAGTGAAAAATAATCAACGTTTTAGTAATGATGAATTAAATTTAGCTTATACAATTAGAATGATATTTCGAGTAAGTTTATCCCAAGTAAAGTATATACACTTAATTAATAAAATGCTATTGAGTTTTAAGATTATTATTGTTATAATTACTATTATTGTTATTTTCTGTGTGTTAAAGTTTTAATAAGCTATTGGATTGATTTTCAGGGATATTATTGTGTATTATTGTCTCCTATAATTCCTAGAACAACATAGGGCTTCAGCCTAACTTCTCCATTGCGTTCTGTTCTCTGCCAACGTTTTCTCCTGGCTCCACGTCTGCTTACATGCTTTTATCTCCTCTTCACATGACCTTCCTATGTCACCCTTGCACTCACGACCAACTTGCCGCTTCCCATTCGGGTTCCAGTCACTTGGTGGTTTTCTCAAAGAATGACCAGTTCACCTTCATTTCTTCTTGCAGATTTGTTGCACAATCGGTTCCTGAGGGGTTGGTTCGCTCTCAGAGATCTCTGTTGCTGATCTTTTCTGGCGATCTGATATTGAAGAGTATTGAGTGAAGACAGCTGTTGATGAAGGTCTATAGTTTGTTCGAAGTGGTCTTCGTGACGCGCAGTGCAAGTCTCTGATCCGTATACTGGCACTCACTTCAAATTGGACTTAAAAATCCGGATCTTATTTTTCATGCTGAGTGCTGTTGATCTACACACAGACTTCAGAGTAATGAAAGCTTGCCTTTCTTTCTCGACTCTCACTTTGATATCCTCGTCAGTTCTGCCTGTAGTTGGAACGATGCCTCTCAGGTATTGGGTTATGACGTCTCCTTTTGTATCTACGGATGCTAATTGCCGGACGATATGAACCGCTGATAATTTCCTGGTCGATTATTGCCTGATACGAACTAGTAGAATCCAGATGACTCACACAGTAGGTTTGTAAAATTGTGATAGAGAGCATGTCAAGAATACAAAAATATACGGCATTTATTGATCCAGTCATAAGGCTAGAATAGTAGGCGTTAACTGCATGCTGGATTTTGATTGGTTGACGCTCATTATGTGACAAAATAATTTTTATTTATCTGACTAATAAACACTAATGAGATAGATTTGGGACACATATCAGGTTGCCAGTTCACGCCCAACCTTCCCTCTTTTTCTGGCCTTAGGACTGATTAGTAAACTAGTAAACATTGCATACTAGGCCCTCGAGCTTAACCCGAAAGTAAAACAGTGAGTTGTGCAATAGTTCTATTGTGACATGGAAGAGATAAGAGTCTATAGGCAACCCTGTCGCCAGCTAAGGACGACTTCAGAGAAAGGGATGAAACGGAGATGTGCTATTGAAGCCATATGTTCCACTCGGAACCTAAGGAAATAATAATCTAATTACGTTAACAATAACCAAGATTTCGAATCAATGACATGCTTCTTGTTTCACTTGTTATATATTCGTGTTATTATCAGTGACTGAAAACATCAGTGTGAAGAAAACCAGCTTAAAACGCTTAGTTCATATATGACACATAGGAAGCGAATTGTCACAGATTAAGTTGTTCAGTATCTATGAGAAATTCACAATTACTGTACTTTTTACAGATCCGGTTCTAACTTGTTTTAACTTATCACGATAGTGTGCGTCGATGGCATAGTGGTTAGAACTCTCGCCGACCATGCACGTGGTCCGGGTTTCGATCCCTTGCCGACGCACACCCGATATCAATGGTCGGTCTGCAAAATTTGGGCTACCGATATCCAAGCTGAAAATTCCATACTTGTACCAAAAATACGGTGTGGAATCAAGCTGCAATCAAAATATAAAAAAATAGTAGTATTAAACCACATTGAAAAAATTAATGCCCATTCAGTATAACCAACAAATTCAGATATAAAGAAGCAGATGCACTGTGCGTGCAAGCAGAAATGATTGGATCTTAGTTACAAAAAGATATCAGCAGTCTAAGAACCATAGAAAATTGGAGAAAACTGGAAGAGTCCTGAACTGGGAGAAAAAGTAGATGTGGTTTTGTAATATCCTCCTAACTGATGTCGGTTTGTCACCTAAATCTACCATGAAAAGGCTTTTTTCGAAAAGCATTTCTATTCACATTACTATTAGCATTTGCATCTCATGACTTTTATCCATTAAGTCACCCTTTAGTGGCTAAAGTAGACTGTTAATTTAACTGAATACAATATCAGTATTCAGCTATGTAGTTTCTGATAAATGGTAGTATTTTAGTTTTAAGTTGAAATAATTTTGAAACCAGAAGTTTATGGATCGTATTTTGAAGCCAGTAGTCTGGAAGATCTGGATATCACGAATAATTTGTGTCTAGTGTTACACAGACTCAAAGATCTGTAGGCGGAAACCAAAATTTTGACAGAAAAATGATGATCAAAGAGAGGACTTCGAATGAATATAGGAAGACCAAGGTGATGAAATTAACCATGTGTCATGTTCTCCAGATCTTAGTCATGACAGAACTCTACCAGGAGGGCTTCCTGCCAGTCGCATCCAACCATCTAAAATCAATTTGAATACAAGTACGAATCTCTATGAACGGAAGAAATTTGAAGGGGGTCATTTTCTTCACTTATGTAGGTGGCATCCTTTCAACTACAGGCACAGGGGCATAGATGAGGATGTCAAAAGCAGAATCGAAAAGTCAAGACAGACCTTCATCTCTCTAAAATCAGTTTAAAAATCTACTGCAATCATCTTCGACAACAAAATTAGGATTTTTAACACTAATGTCAAATCAATGACTTCTTTCATATATGTCGGAAACTTGGTGTATCACAAAAAACACTTTCAACAAATTGCAGACTTTTATCAACAGCTGGGTTTCCTGATTCCATGTCAAAGGTTAGATGGTCAGAAAAAATTAGCAACAAGAAACTCCGAGAATGAACCATTCAAAAACCCATTGCTCAAGAAATAAGTCGCAGACGTACACCTCGAAGACCGTTGAATGACATCGCACACAATGCCGTCTCTCGATTGGAACCCTATCAGGAAACGACCAGTTGGCGTGTGCCTGAGGGTGACATAGAGGAGATTGTTTAAGAAGGAGATGACAGTCTATGGCATTCATGCAGCCAGCTGAATAGGACTGCAAAGAATAGGATAGATTGGCGATGTTTGGTTGAAATCCTATGTTCCACTTCGAGTCCTATACAAAATCAACTTAAGTTTCTTCAAGTCTAAGGATAATAACTTCATCACATAGCTCCTATTAAATCCTTATAAATAAAGAACCAAATATTTATTCATTGCTGCCTGAATATCAATTTGAAACTCATTCTTACAGCATATAATGACAACTACCTGTCATAGTTAATGAGTTACCTGTCACTAGTTATCTGTCGTCAATCATTATTACATAACTACTTTTATGAATTTATGTTTAAATATTTTATGTTGTACACATCTGATAAGGGCTAAACAAATAGCCAGATAAATTCTGCTTTTAAGTTTTTTTTTGTATTTCTGTAAAATTATTGAGTTTGCTTACTTGCTTCATCAAGGATTATCCAACTTTGTTGATTTGTTTTTTTTTTTTTCAGGATACATATTTAATTGACCAAACAGAACCTTTAAAGATTGGTGTGAAATGGATTGCTAGAATGACTGAACCACATCCGGCAGCAGATCAGATTGATGAATATCCTGTAGCTGATCCACGTGAAAATACTGAACTTCTTCAGGTTAGTTAATCAATGATAAAATAATATTCAAGTATTGGTTGTAGGGATTGGATTGATTGGTCACAGGATTTCATCGTGAGCTGAAGGAAAAAAACCAAATACTTTTAGGAAAAGATAAATTTTCGTCTGAAAAAGCATCTTTTGAGTCTGGTGGTGTTGTATTCCCTGAATTGGATAGTTTAGTCCTTTCATTCAAGATAACGCCTTTATCACTAACTTCATATTGAAGGTCATAAAGTTATCTAATTGTTGATTTAAGTGATATAAAAGGCATCCAAACTAGATGACTAACTAAAAGCAGTCAAGAAACCCTGAAATCATTGTTCTAAACTCATTCACAGAATAAATAAACCACTTAGAAAGCTCTGTGATATCTGACCTATGTCGGATAACTATATTCCCAGCCATAGCGGATATATTCCTGGTAATTTGGGAATAGGTAACTGTTATAACATCCATCTCTATCCTAAAGGTATGTTTGGAAAAACTTACCAGAGCAGTGAAGTTCCTAATAAGAGAAATTGGAAAGATAAGAGGAACAGTATTATTAAATAGCCGTTTTTATTTGGGAATTCATTAAAGGAGGCAGAGGCAATTACTTATGGAAGTAGTGAAAACACAACATGAATAAGAAGAAATTTTCAGGCTTTCATCGTGTTTAAAACCATAAGTAGGTTTCTTAATAGGTAGGGGAGTAAAGTGATGCTTAAACATACAAGATCTCTCAAAGATTCATTGTAAAAATTAAACTAGGCTGTTAGAGTCATGTATCGTATCAAAGCATAGATGATAGATGTTCAGCTAACTTTGAAATGGAAGATCTAGAAAAGAACTCGTCAATCGTTATTTATGTGTCAATACAATCATAAAATAAAGTGGAATAGTGCAATAGTGGAGGAAATGTCAATGAATAAATTTCTGTTCATTATTAATTTGGTATACTGGGTATTAGACACAGTGAAACAGTATTATTTAACTTGGTGTTGCTTCGAACACAATTCACTGTTTCCACTTATTTCACTGTGTATCTCCTTTAGGATTTTATTATCTACATTACTAAATCACTAAGATGTGTCATGTTATCGAGATCTTAGTGATGACAGAACTCTACAGATAGGACATCCTGCCAATTGCAGCATCCAACCACTTAAAGTCATTTCGACTGACACAAAAACAGACGGTGGGTTTCTTAACTAGTTGTTCATATTGTAAATACTCGGTACTTATTATGACTAGACAATACGATTTTACTATGTTGCCTAGTATATTTCTCATTAGTATAATTTGGTGTCAGGTGAACTAAATGATGATATGTCTCTTTTCAATAGAATATATAAACAAAATTATTTTAATTTTTCACTTTTCAATTTTCTTTAAAAATATTCTTTATTCAGTTATCATTCGACAATCCTTGTGCAGTTCGTAAATGTTGTCCAAAACTACGAGTTAGCTACGATGTAAAAGTTACAAGGTATGTGATCATATCCTTACTACTTAATGTTTATATATGCATATTACAAGAATATTAAATTTCATACATTTGGTTCCCTTGATAAATTTCGATAAAGAAAGGAAGACGAAATTTGCAGTATAAAATGATATCATTCTATTTCACAGGTTCTCATCAGCTGCAGACTACCTGAAATTACAATGGTTATATAGATGATAATAACATACTTTAATGTTCGAGTGGTGGTAGAAAAGAGATACTATAAAATTGACGCATCTAAATGAAAGCATTACAATGTTTTTAGTTTAAGTTTTCATCATCAATTTATACGCTTTTAAAGTTGAAAAGAGGGGGAGGGGTAAGAGAGAAAACAGAAAAAATTGATTAACAGAACAGTGTTAGCTTTTAGGTTCACATAGCAACTCAAGAAACAAAAACGGTTACAGTTTATGAGATTAAGATTTGTTCAGTGAGTTGAGATCACTGAATTAGATGACTAATCAAAATCAAAATTCTGTTACCAAGGGAGTGAGAGGTTAATCACACTCTCTTTCTGTATGCATAAGTCTGGTTTAAGTCTTTTGATTGCGATTGCTTCGGCAAATCGTAGTAAATTTGCTGTCCTTTGTCTATTTAATATTTTGAAGGACTTAGAAATCTCTACGAGATGTCCGGTATCAATAATGTGTCTGGTAATTGCACTCTGGGAATATCTGCTTCCTTTCAGGCACAGGTTTTTGGGAATATGTTCAGAAAACCGGATAGAAGCCCTTCTTTCTGTCCTTCCAATGTACTTGCTCCCGCAAGTGCACGTGAATTCATAAACGCAGTTGGAGGTGACATCAGCAGGGTATTTATCCAGTTTTGAGTGGATTAAAGAAGGAGTGGTGCTGTATACTGTTATGAGTTTTGCTGCTGGGAAGCTTCTATTTATTGCACCTTTCAGTCTTTTGTCAATCTTTTGTGACACTGCATCTCCTTTGTATGGTAGACAGATAAACACTTTTTTCTTTTCTACAGTTGGATGCTTTTCTTTCTCATCTTTTTCTCTGCTGTACTTCTGAATAAATCCCTTAGGGTATCCATTTTCCCTTAGGCATTTCTCGACGAAAACTAATTCTTCTTCGACCCTGTTTGGTGAACATAGCTTCCTGGCTCTGTCATACAAAGTCCTCACTAATCCACGTTTATAGCTTATGGGACAAAAGCTGTTATAGTGAAGATATTGTCCAGTCCAGGTTTCTTTTCTATAGATGGACTTTTCGACCGTGCCTTCGTTTGTTCTTTTTACATTTAGATCCAGGAAATTGAACTCATTATTATGTTCATATTCCATGGTGAATTTGATATTTGGATGTATCTCATTTAGGCGATCATATAGTGCCGATGCGTGATCCATATCGTTGCAAACAACAAATGTGTCATCAACATATCGGCGATAGTAGGTAGTTCCATTGATAGCAGAACTTAGTTGTGTTTGCTCAAGGTAGCCCATGAAGATATCAGCCAGGATAGGTCCCAGAGGCGAACCCATCGCGACCCCATCGGTTTGTCGGTAAAGTTGATTGTTGAATTTGAATTGTATATCTTTTGTGCAGAGCAGTAGAAGTCGCTTCATCTCTGTTTCCGGTAATGGTAGTAGATCCGTTTGTTTACAAATTATATCAATTGTTTCCATCAGTGGTACATTTGTAAACAAGGAGGTCACGTCATACGATACCATGAGTTTGTCTGATATGTCGATATTGTCAACTTCCTTGGAAAATTGATAACTATCCTTCAGGCTGTGGGTTGCAAATTTAATTCGAATGGGCTCTATAGAATCAGCTAACCATCGAGCTAGCTTGTGGCATGGTGAGTCAATCATTGACAGGATTGGTCTTAATGGCACATTTGCTTTATGAATTTTTGGTAGGCCGTACATAGACGGCAGGCGTCCACCTTTTGACTTCAGTTTATTATATGTTTCGCTGTTGATTAGTTTCTTCATTAGAAGTTCTTTGAGACATTTATTAACTTTATTTTCAAATGACGTTGTGGCATCTTTTTTGTTGTCTACTTGGAATTTTTCTTTGTCGTTTAGAATTGTCATCATTTTATGTATATAATCAGCTTTGTTCATTATAACAACCCCAGAGCCTTTGTCAGGTCTAAATATGACGATTTCATCGTTTTCATATAGTTTCTTCAGAGCTTTTCTATGCTCTTCGGTCAGCATCTTCTGCTTCTCCATTGGTGATATGTGGTATTGGTTAGCAATATCAACAAGTTTAGACTTTAGCCATCCTCTTTTATCTTCGTCTAAGGGCTTCAGGTCGTAGAGTTGATGGTATAAGTGCTCGAATTGTGCTTCTGTGTCTATACGACTGATGTGCTTCTTGGGGACGTGAAACTTGAATCCTAGAGATAAGGCTTCTAATTCGATTTTGTTTAATTGTAATTTTGATAGGTTACAAACGTAGCGTTCAGGTGCTTCTGGGAATTCTTCAATTAGCTTCTCTTTCACCAACGCTTTTGTCAGCTGAGTTTCATAATCCTCGGATGTTTTTGATTGTAGCTCTTTGATAAAGTTCATGAATTTAAGCCAGCAGATAATATTAAGCTCACTTAGTAGGGTATCATAGGTAGCCAGACGAGATTTCAATTCGGAGATTTGCCGAAGCAATCGCAATCAAAAGACTTAAACCAGACTTATGCATACAGAAAGAGAGTGTGATTAACCTCTCACTCCCTTGGTAACAGAATTTTGATTTCGATTAGTCATCTAATTCAGTGATCTCAACTCACTGAACAAATCTTAATCTCATAAACTGTAACCGTTTTTGTTTTTTTTGTTTCTTGAGTTGCTATGTGAACCTAAAAGCTAACACTGTTCTGTTTATCAATTTTTCTGTTTTCTCTCTCACCCCTCCCCCTCTTTTCAACTTTAAAAGCGTATAAATTGATGATGAAAACTTAAACTAAAAACATTGTAATGCTTTCATTTAGATGCGTCAATTTTATAGTATCTCTTTTCTACCACCACTCGAACATTAAAGTATGTTATTATCATCTATATAACCACTGTAATTTCAGGTAGTCTGCAGCTGATGAGAACCTGTGAAATAGAATGATATCATTTTATACTGAAAATTTCGTCTTCCTTTCTTTATCGAATATTAAATTTATTTTTATCAGTTTGCGTGATATAATTCTATAGATTTAGTCATCTGGATGAATACAACAGTTCTACGCACGTCGATGTGTGTCGCTGGTTCAGTGGCAGAAAGCTTGGTAACCCTGCCAAACGTGGTCCAGGGTTCGATTCCCGGCTGATGCATTCATAAAACCTCACTTTGCCAGTAGTAATTCGGGTAAAGAAAGAATTTTGGGTATGAGACTAGGAAATCAACTCCATAAAAGATAAGAAATCACTTCTACTGAAAGTTCAAAGCTTAAATTGTACTCTGAAAGTAGAGGAATATACGTACACATAATTTGCATGTACTTGGTGAGTATTCCATGTTATAATCTGGAAGTTTTCATCTCAGAGTACAAAGGGTTATACACAAGACTAGTAAATTATGATCAAAGCCATTTTATAAGGATACATTTTGTGTTACCTTGCTACACAGCACTAAACAAAAGTGAAATTCACTAGAAAGGAAGACACAGCATGATACAAAACGGTCAATTCGTTCTATTAAAATATTAAACATTAACTGTTTAATTGGGAGTGTAGCGTAAGACATTCGATTAATCAGTTATATTAACATCATGCTTTGAAATTTGATAAAATTCTTATGTATGCTATGTCTACAGATATGTAGAAATCTATTTATCAGTCGTTGATATAACAGAAATACGGTAGCTGTGTAATTAAATTAGCTGTTTTCGCTTGGAGTATGCAGGTTTTCATCCAAAGATGTTCTTTTGCAAAAAACGACCTGTTTTGCTAGAACTGTAAGGTTTATTTATCCATGAGTGAAATGATAAAAACCCTAGGTTATCTCAATTTATCATCTACAAGCTACACGGATGACGGTATCAAAGCCGGAATCAGAAAACCAAGATATAGATCTCTGAGGTTAGTCTGAACAAGATTTGAATTTTCAACATTAATGTTAAGTTAATCAGTTCTTCTGTGTGTCACCAAAGGCATTTCAAATAGATTTCAGACTTGTTTGTATCCATAGTTACCTCCGCTGGCTCAATACTGAAGATCAGACAGCCGGCTAAAAAGGATTAGCGACAAGAAACTATGGCTGGCAACAAACCAACCAACAACCTGTCGTTTAGCAAATATGTAGGATAAAATGGAGATGGATCGATCATACGCTAAGAAGACCGTTGAGTGACATCGCATACCAGCTCATCTCTCGAGTGGAACCCGAATGAGAAACGACAGGTGGATTATCCGAAGGTGACATGGAGAAGATCGTGCGAGGAAAAGATGAGAAATTACGGACAATCGTACGGGTGCAATAAAACAACCAACAACCTATTGCCCAACAAATATGTCGAAAGAAATAGAGATGGGTCGGACATACACCGTGGAGATCATTGAGTGACATGGCTCTGCAAGCCATCGCTGAAGTAGAACTCAAATGGGAAACGAGTTGACCGTCGATCCGAGTGTGACATGCAGGAGATCATGTAGAGAGAAGATGAGAGCGTACGGACAACCGCGGAACTAGCTCAAAAAGACTTGAGAGACAGAGAGGGGGATGAAACGGAGATGTGCTATTGAAAGCCTATTCTTCATTTGGAACCCAAAGGGACAATAAAGTAACTTCTTTCCCTACCAACTCTTATGTTTTACTTACACGTCTCATCCCAAATCAGAAAATTCGATGGTTAAACACACACACACGCTATCTCGAATTTATTTTTTTCCTTTATTTTATTCCACTTAGTATATAGTAAGTTCTAACTGTACAACTGCACTGCCAAGAAAAGAATTACGTACTTAATATTGATCTAGTAGATTTCTTCATGGATCCATATCAGTTCGAGAACAATTAGAAACCAAAGAACACTAGACGTCTATTTCTTTCAAAATCATCGAAGAAATAATTGACCTCACCAGAAGACCATAACTCATAGACCTGTTGGTATCTAAATCAATTACTAGTAGAATGCATTTTTAAGCTATTTGCAAAATATATGCTTCAACTTTATTATTTCGGTTTTTTATCAACAAAATGGATTAAATATGAAAGTCAAACGGTGATTTAGTGTATACTACTGACTCGAATTTGTTAGTAGCAATAAAATCGACTCCATCACCCCAATATACATTGTTACTACAGCAACCTTATTGGGTAAATAACAGAAGAGTGGCACAGTGGTAAAATGTTCGACCACCACGCCGCATGTGGTTCGGGGTTCGATCCCCGGCCACCGACGCACTCCTATACCTCGTTAGCCAAGTAAGAAGATTGGTAAAGAGGGAAGGTTGAACATGAGGCTACAAACCTCATCCCGCAAAAAATAAAACACCACTGCTACCGAAACATCAAGCCTCTAGCTTAAAGCCTCCTGTTCCGCTCGGAACGTTAAGGAATAAAAAGAAACAGAGAAAGAAGTAATAATAGATCTACAAACCGCCCACTTCATGATATGCTTTGAAAATATACATAAATATGTAATGCAGCCGGAGGAGAACACAAATTCTGTTTCCTCTTTTATTGTTTTATTGCAATTCCTCTAGGGATAAGAATGGCCCAGTTGTTTATGTTGGTGATGATAATAATCAGACAATTGAAATTAATGTTCGTGTCACAAATATTGGCAATGATTTAGCTTATGTAACTGGATTAGTCAGTAATTTCCCGTCTACTCTCCTAGAACTTGATCCAAAAGTAAGTTGAATAAATGTTGTTGTTTTTTCTTTGCAATAATTTATATTCTATAGTGTGTTTTGAAAGTAGTGAGATAAAGAGTGAAAAAGTAATCAACAGTTCATTTGATAGAACTTTGACTCTCTCACTAGTTGACAAATCCTGTCACAATCATGTCTATTCATCCAAATTTTATATTAACCTCATTATAATGATCATCTATGCTTCAAATAACAGATTTATAGTTGCAAAGTTTATAAGATTAACGGATTGTTACATCGTCTTAGTATTGCTCCCTTGGGTTCCTAGTGGAACATAGGGCTTCAACTGCACGTCTCCATTTTCTTCTGTCCTCTGCTGTACTTTTCGCCTGCATCCATGTTAGTCCATACTCTCTCAACTCCTCTTCACACGATCTCCTCCATGTCACCCTTGGACGTCCCACACGCCGCTTTCCTTTCGGGTTCCACTCGAGGGCTTGACGCGCGATGTCACCCAGCGGTCTCCTCAGCGAGTGCCCGATCCATCTCCACTTTCTCCTGCATATTTGTTGGTTGGCGATTGGTTCTTGTTTTGTTTGTTCCCATAGTTTCTTGTTGGTGATTCTTTCCGGCCATCTGATCTTCAGTATAGAGCCAGTCAAGAAAGTTGTTGATAAAGGTCTGCAACCTTTTGGAAATATTCTTTGTGACCCGCCAAGTTTCTGATCCGTATAGAAGAACTGACTGACTTTACGTCTGTATTGAAAATCCGACCGAATTTTGTTGGTAATGCTGAGTTACATCGTCTAACAGGGGTTAAAGGAAGAAAATACTACATTTAAAAGGAAAAATAAACAAAAGTAACATATCCAGTGCTAAGACATATCAAGTCCATCACATAGATTTATTCACTGAACAAAGCTCTTCTCAATAATTTCACATGTGAACTGTCATTGCTTCTACGGTTTAAAGAAGTTTAATTCGTATGCTTTTGGCAAGATTCCCATGTATTCTGTCGATGACTTTGAAGTTGGTTTTCAGGTTAGTTTGGCGTCCAGATTCATCATCACAAAATTCATATCATCAGCTATAACTACACAACTTCGATACTTTCGTTTTATAGTTTTCCGTATTTTTTTTCTATTCATCGTAGGAGTAGTAGAATTTCCCAGATATCCAGATGGACAGGTGTTAAATCATTTTTACTGCACATAGTATTTTCAGTTGATTCGATAAATGAAGCTTCCGTTATCAATCTCTCTCTCTCTACCCTGCTGTTACATTAGATTTTACAACTGTCATCTTATTCCATCCTATTGTATGGTTGTGCGTAATTTCATACAGTGATTGTTATAGTTGAGCTATTCTCCGAATTTCTTATCTTACTGGGATCAACTAATCTAGATTTTGCATGGTTTTGTGCTCCAGTAGTCTAACTGACTCTGTACTACTGCTTTGTCCTATGTATTTGACCTGACAATCATTGTAGATAGGATATTAGATAAGCTCAACTGTTTTGTTAAATTTGCTTCAGTGACAGGAGAAAGCTTGTTTCTAATTTAGTTTGTAGGTGGTTTGAATGCTAGCCGCTTTTATTCCTGCATTGTTAAGAATTCTCAATAAGGTGGTTTCTGAGGTTCCTTCCTTGAATGGAAGTACTGCTGATGATTTAAATAGCTTATCGTTGGTGTTCTCATCATTCTATGAATGTTTGCCATGCATGTCGTCATTAATATTATTATTATTATCACTATCACTACTATTAGTATTTATTTTAATTTTACATTTACAGACATACTTCCTGATTAGTTTATCAGGGTTATTATTAAGTTTCAAAGCTTCTCCTATATGCCTCACTTCCTGTCTTAGATTTTCCTTGGTATTACTTAGATTTTGTGCCCTATGTCGAATAGGAAAGATGTTGTTCATTTACTCAATAGTCTTTCTTGTCCATAAGGGCTTTGCCAGCTCCTTTATGTGGACGAAGAATAAGAAAGAATAAAGAAAATTATAAAACGAAATTGCTGAAGTTGTGTAGTTATAATTGATGGTTTGATTATTAACAATAATCACTGTGTTCGAAACCTGGTCATCCAGTAAATTATACTATTTCACTGTGTGATTTATTCGATAAACAAATTGATGTTGAATTACATAACACCACAAAGCCCAAGTTTAACGCATATATTTAAGAAGTCTAGGTATCAACAGCTATACTAATCCGATAGTTTCAGTGGTACTACAGTGTACGGTAATTAAGTGTCCAACATCATCGATATAACAAATAATACATCAACCATGTTTCGCCTAAAGAATCGAGCATACATCACTCAATATCAAAGCCAATGACTTTATAACAATAATAATCATAAAGCTTTATTTCAGAGGTTATGCGAACATACAGTACAAAACTTTCCAGCGTATTCACTTCCAAAATACTTTTTTCTTCGTACAGGATTTAAATGCACAGTAATGATCATTTTCAAGTTTTGGTTTTGTAGGGATTTTAATTGATTGCATGGAGGATTTCACCATAAGTTGACATCAGTTAGAGAACCAATGGAAGACCTGGGAGTACTGGACAGCTGTTTCGTCCTAGTTTGGGACTCTTCATCAGTACGCACCCACTCCACTGAGGGCCGAATCCAGGACCTTCTGGTTACAAGGCGGATCAGGTATAGTGGGTTAATATTCTACAAGCTCGCCTCGTAACCAGAAGGTACTGGGTTCGAATCCCGGTGGGTGCGTACTGCTAAAGAGTCCCAAGCTAGGACGAAACAGCTGTCCAGTACTCCCAGGTTTTCTAACTGATGTCAGCTCATAGTGAAATCCTCCATGCAATATCTTCATTTTGTTGAAGAAGTGCACAGCGTTTACTTGTAAGCAAGTTGAATAAGCGTGCGAATTCATGTATTGGTCATTTGGTATAACTGGACAATTGAAACAATGAACAAATCCACATGAAATTAAACGTTTTGGTTTTTAAGCAATTTCTGGTAGTCCAGTAATTTGAGCAGGCCATCTTAAGTCTAACATTATCAATAATGGTAACTGTCTAGGTTACAACCGACTTCGTGGATGACAGATCAGTGTGCAAAAGTTGATCTGTTGATCGGCTGTTGTTTAGTTCTGAGATCCTGTTGTCGTAGTAGATTTTACGGTATTTAACTTAATTTCCTTACTGTATTCTCTCGGATATTATAGTCAGTATTCAATTTTAATTACAAAGTTATTAGGTATAAAAATACATTCTTAGTTGGGGCTAGTCACTCCTTGATGTAAACTTGTCTTAGACTACTTAGTTCCTTACAAAAGATCCAATCAAATGAAAGTTCAGTGTTCAATTTAGTAACTGACTTCAAAATAACTATTCATCTCAATCTCAAGAAAGTGGAGGCGCAGACTACTGGACACAAAAGTAAGAAGAGGAGCAAGCGTTGGCTTAGACCACTATCTCGTACAAGGGACAATCCAAATCAAATTAAAAGCTTTCAGAGAAGGAGGAGCTGCAGACAGACCACAAGCCAAGTTCAACACTCAAAAGCTGAAGGACCAGGCTACAAAGGACATCTTCATTACAAGCATAAAGGACAAAGCCGAGACACAAATCAACACTAGCGAAGAGGTCGGCGTCGAAAAGCACTGAGACAACTTGAAAACGGTGTGGAGTCAAACCTGCATGGAAGTTCTGGGCAGAAAGAAGAGGCAGGACAAACAATGGCTCATTATGGACACTTGGAAACTAATAGAAGAGAGAAGGATAGTGAAACAAAAGATTATCCAGTGCACTGACGAGCAACAAAAACAGGAGTTGAATGCAAGCTACAATACACTGAACAAAAGAGTGAAGAGGAGTGCCAGAGAAGACAATAGAAAATATTATGAAACCATGTCAAGTGAAGCGGAACAAGCTGCAGGAAAAGGAGACCTCGCCACACTCTACCAAACAACTAGGCATCTTTCGGGCAAATGTTCGACAAAGATTAAGCCAGTAAAGGATGACGGTGGAAAGTCAGTCACCAAAGAAGTGGAGCAGAGAAAACACTGGGCTGAACACTTCAAAAGACTTCTAAATCGACCACCACCTGCAACGCGCCCAACAATACCAACAACGGAAGCAGAACTACCAGTGAACATCGACCCTCCGACGAAATTAGAGGTCCTGAATGCAATCAAGATGCTAAAAGTCGGAAAAGCAGCAGGACCAGATGGAACCCTAGCAGAAGCATTGAAAATGGACCCAGAGACAACAGCGGACTTGATGATGCCATTGCTGGAGAAGGTGTGGAAAGAAGGCAAAGTACCCGAGGATTGGAAGAAAGGATACTTATTCAAACTACCAAAGAAAGGAGACTTAAGTCAATGCAAAAACTGGCGCGGAATTATGCTCCTATCCATCTCAAGCAAAATACTAAGCGGCATCATTCTGGAGAGAATCAAACAAGCCCTAGATGAAAACCTTCGACCGGAACAAGCTGGATTCAGGAGAAACAAGTCATGTATTGATCAAATCACCACACTACGGATCATCATTGAACAAAGCTTGGAATGGCAGTCACCTCTCTATCTCGCTCAACTTCATCGACTTTGGAAAGGCCTTCGACAGACAGCGTCGATCGAGAGGTGGTTTGGCAACTACTGAGCTACCACGGGGTCCCATCGACAATTATACATCTCATCCAACAGTTATACGACAATGCTGCATGCTAAGTAATCCACAACGGGAAACTTACGGAAGCCCTCGAAGTGGGGACGGGAGTAAGGCAAGGCTGTCTACTATAGCCAATGATCTTCCTGATTGCAGTAGATTGAATAATGTGACAGACAACGGGTAATGAGGAAACAGGCACAAAATGGACTCACACAAAAAGGACTTGGAGGATCTGGACTTCGCCGATGATATATGTTGGATTTCCCACAAACTGGAAGATATGCAAGTGAAAAGCAACAAGTTGGCAGAAGAAGCCTCCTGAGATGATAGGACGTCAGGTGAACATAGAGAAGGTGGAGACGGAGGTGACGAAGATTCCTATCCAATAC